AAGTGAATTTGATACTCGGATAGCGGCTGTTGAGTGTTCCGAGTATTTTATCTATGTCGGATATTTTCACTACGGCGAAAGTATCGTCTACATATCTAAGCCAAATTCGTGGCAAAACACCTTCACTTTTGAGTTGCGATTCGAAATTGCACATTAAAGCTTCTGCTACATATGGTGATAGACTGTTACCCATGCTACAGCCGAAGTTGTTGTTGTAGTAAACGCCGCGAAATTGAAAGCAATTGTGCTTCATACAGATTTTAATAGCATTTATGTATGCATTGAACTTGTCTTCAGGTAAACTGAATTTATTTAAGTGGTTATGAATTGCTTCAATGGCCGTATCGACAGGAATCGACGGAAAAAGGGCTTCAAGGGCGTTTTAATTTTTCGACATTTGCGGTCAATACCACAAGCTGACTTAAATTTTGTGATTAAATTTACAAAAGAATATTTGTTCCATATTTAAATTGGGCTCCACTTGTATCACCTTACGTCGAGCGCACATTTAGTACATTCAAGGCCCTTCTTCGCGAAAATCGAATGAAAATGCTGCCAGAAAACTTCAAAATGCATCTTGTGGTTCAATGTTACTACAACTATACAGATTAAAGTCTTATGAGTTAGAAACTCGAAGGGATAAAATAGTCAAAGATTCAAAGTACAAATTTTTCATATAATGAAACTAGTTCATAGTCTTTCTCTTTTTACTTGTAATATAAACATTTCTAAAAAAAATATATTTTTTGATTGTTCTTCGTATTTTCTGTCTTTTTTTAGTGCCTTATTTTGCTTTTTTGCAATACCTTTTTTTTGCCTTTTTCGCTATTTTATTTTGCCTTTTTTACAATACCTAGTGCCTTTTCCTGCCTTTTTCGCTATTTTATTTTGCCTTTTCCAGCCTATTTCGTTACTTTATTTTGCCTTTTTTATAGGGTTTTAGGTCCTAAAAATCCGTTCCCTGGTTATGAGACAAACTAAATATGTAGCGTAAGTTTCACTTCACCAGTGTGGCCCAGAGGCACTTTCTTTTTTTTCGATATCGAGTATGGCATAGCCATTTTCTTATTACTGATTTTTGCGCCAAACAACATCAGTGACTGATTTAATAGACTAAACATACCAAATTTTTTTATAGAAGTTCTTATTAAAAAGTTAGCAATTTTTAAGAAAATTTTTTGATTTTTTTCTAATTTTTGCAAAAATTTTCGATTTATACTTTCATAAAAAAGTAATGAAAAATATATAGAATGGAAAAACATTGCGAATACTGTAATAATATCACTGTGTGATTTTGAGTGTGGGTCACTGTTACATATGTACCTCATATATATGTATGTATAATAAAATTTTCTGTTGGTAAATGGTTCTATGCATTTTTTGAATGAGTAGATTTTTTTCAGTGTTTCATTGTAGAATTAAAAATTAACGATATATATCGATATATCGAGTTTTTCTCTCTTATATATCGAAAATATTGAGTACGGCGAATATCGATACTTTTGCAGCTCTACTGAATAGAGTCGTACGACATTAGTTTGCTTTAAATGTGGAGATGCGGGTCACATTGCATTGAAATGTTCAAGGAGTAGCAGTCAGATTTCAACCAACAAACTGAATAGCTATGAAATGAGGGTTGAGGTATGTGATGTGGTTGAACCTACGTGAGTGTTGATCCAGTCTGGTGAGTCGTTCCAATTTTCTTTTCATTCCGGTGCTGAGTGTTCGCTTTTAAAGGAAGCCATTTCAAAGAAGTTTGCGGGGAGAAGAATTACCAATATTGTTGTTTTAAAAGACATCGGAAATGTCTCGATATGCAATTCTTTGCAAATATTGGCAAAAGTTAAAATTAGTGGATTTTTTCTTGAGGTTTCACTTCATGTGGTTCTCAATAGTTATTTAAAGCAGGGTGTTATGATTGGCCGTGGAATTCTAAGCCAGAGTTTCGGTGTTATGATAACCTCTAACAAGTTTCACATTTTTAAACAGAAAATTGCAAATACATCTTATGACTCGTTTATTGTAAATACTGAATTAATATTATAAATATATAAAAAATATTTTTTAAAAACAAGCTTTTATTTAACATGTACAATCAAAGGAATAAAATAAAGTAGTGTAACAAAAGATTTTTTAGCAAGGAAATTTTGTCAAACCCGCACTAAAATTATTAAAATAAAATAAGTTAAGGTCTCGTTAAAGTTACTAAAAGCCATTTAGTGAAAGGAGTTATTCAAACTCTAATGAAAATTACTAACAATTTGTACTAATTTACTTCGTTTTTAAAAAAGCTTGTCGCGCGAATAGCAAACCGGCATTTAAATATCTGCATACATACATATACATACCTAACCAATTATGCATGTACGCTGAATTCGCCGACAAGCGTTTTTAAAAACGAAGTTAATTAGTACAAGTTGTTAGTAATTTTCTTCAGAGTTTGAATAACTCCTTTCACTAAATGGTTTTTAGTAACTTTAACGAGACCTTAACTTAAAATAATTCAACTTGCAATGAAAGAGAACAGAAGACTTGGCAAGCAAAATGTTGTTTGCTTACGTTTTGTATAAACATACATATGTACATATAGCAGCAGTTAATTTTATTTAAAGAAATGGCGTGTCGTCCATTTCCGTTGTAACATGGCATATATTTAGGCGCAATATTTAACTTCTTCTGTCGGGGCGACATCTGGAGTCTGCTAATTCTTAAAACGAGGTTCATATCTAGACTAGGTTGATATCTAGAATTTGCCACAAATATCTTTGCTACACTACCGCCGCGGCGCGCCGGCAGCTTTAACAATTTTATAGTGGTTTTACGTTCTTTGGCAAATTATTCTCTGTTAGCCATAAATATTACTATTTTTTGACCGCCTTTGAATCAAGACCCCTGGACCATACGGGGAATTCATTTATATTTTAAATTGCATTGTCATCGTGATTGGAACTATGCTGAAAATTTCAAGTCTCTAACTTGTCGGGAAGTTAGTTTAAAATCGATTGGAAATTTCCGCGATTTCCGCGGGATGACCAAGTTAAATAAAAGCTTATAAAAATGAATCTGATCGCCTTTGCGTTGATAACCGTGAGTTAAATGCGAATACAATATCTGATAGATATCAGACCAAATAGCTAGACTACGTGGAGCCAATTACTTTTCTTGTTTAGATATGGCATGTGGATTCCACAAAATTCCTATTCATACTAATAGTATTGAGCTTACAGCGTTTGTAACTCCCGAAGGCCAGTATGAGTTTTTAACCATTCCCTTTGGCTTTAAAAATGCGCCATCGGTTTTTCAGCGAGCAGTAATGAAGGCATGGGGGATCTTGCCTATTCCTGGATAGTTGGTTGGGTATGGCACTGCGACCAATAGGTCTATTGTGCCTATTCCTATGTCATTGTGTACATATATGGATGATATCATGATTCTTGCTTCAACGAAAGAGCAAGTGTTTGAAAGATTAAACATTGTTTTAGATACTTTAACAAAAGCCGGGTTTTCTTCTAATTTTACTAAATGTGCTTTACTCAACACTAGATGAATATCTCGGGTATGAGATAAAATCTGGAGAAGTCCGACCAAATCCACGTAAAGTTCACCAATGTGCACCAATTGAGGCAGTTCATAGGCTTGGCTTCTTAGTTTCGACAATTTGTAGCTAAATTTTCGCAAATGAATAAACCACTTTATTTTCTTATCTCCAACAAAAATAACTTTAATTGGAAATCAGAACATGAGCAGATACGTCAGAAAATAATTTATATTTTAACAAGTAAGCCAGTTTTAATAATTTTTGATCCGCAGTTCCCCATTGAATTACATACTGATGCTAGCGCAGATGGTTATGGCGCCATATTAATGCATAAAATTAACAACAAACCACATGTCATTGAGTACCTATTTTAGCAAAAGAACTTCTCCAGCAGAATCTAGATATCATTTATACGAATTGGTGACATTAGTTGTAGTTAATTATATTAAACATTTTCAACACTATCTGCAAGGTCGCCAGTTCGTGGTATTCACAGATTGTAATTCTTTTAAAGCTTCTCGTACCAAAATGGATTTAATACCAAGAGCTCATCGCTGCTGGGGCATATTTGCAATCTTTTGATTTTGTTGTAGAGTATAGAGAAGGCAAGCGTATGGCATAAGCGGACTTCTTCTCCAGGAATGTGTTGCCAGAGAATAATCAGCAAGTCGAGAAAGTTTTGGAAAAACGTGTGGATCTCCGATATTTCAGATAACTGGCTTCTCGCTGAGCAACAAAAAGATCCGGAGGTAGTTGCAATTGTTAAAAATTTGATTAATAATGAATTCGAACAACATGAGGTAAATACGTATGAATTGCGCGCTGGTATATTATGCCGGAAAATACAAAGAAATGGAAAAACAAAATGTTTACCGGTTGTTCCTTAAGCGTTCAGGTGGTCCGTTATAAATCATGTTCACGAAGCCATGATGTATCTGGGCTGGGAAAAGAGCCTTGGTAAAGTTTACGATTATTATTGGTTTGAGCATATGTCCAAATATGTACGAAAGTTTGTTGATAATTGTATCAATTCAGCAGAACTTCATCCGATCCCAAAAGTTAGTAGTCCGTGGCCCACTGTACACATTGACATTACCGGCAAATTGAGTGGTAATAATGTAAAAAAATATTTTTTTAAAAACAAGTTTTTATTTTACCTGTACAATCAAAGGAATAAAATGAAGTAGTGTAACAAAAGATTTTTTAGCAAGAAAATTTTGTCAAAACTGCACTAAAATGATTTGTTTCCGATTGTTGGTGTTCTGCATTCCGACAATCGGAAATTATTTCCGATTCCGCCTTGTTCTACATTTCGATCCACTTCGAATCGGAATTCTATCGGAAATTTGATGCTCTGCATTCCGATTATCGGAAATTTTTTATCGGAAATGTTCCGATCAGCTAAAAGCCAGTGGGATAGAAAATAATCAAAACGAAAAACAAAAATATAACTGTGAACGGTCAAAGGAAAAATTGTATAGTCAGCAAACAGCAAAGAATGTAAGTAAAGAAAATAAAAGTGGTAATTATTAAAATTGAAATTATTAAAATGCAGGGGAAAGCACAAGACGGCGGAGCAAAGCAAAAATATGTAGGATTTCATGGAAGTAAATCCAGACATAGCGAAAGGCTTCTTCAGAGGAGACAAAGTGTCTCTTGAGGAAAAGTGGCGCCAACTAACGGAATCGTTGAATAGCCAAGGACCACCAATAAAAAACACAAATGAGTGGAAGAAGGTAAAATATTATTGTGATTATAAGGATAACAATAATATTTAGATTTTTTGCAACTAGACCTGGGGTGACTGGAAAAGTGAAGTGAGGAAGAAATTGGCACACAACAGAAGAGAGGCCGTGGCTACCGGAGGCGGCCCATTTAAAAAGTACACTTTGTCGGAGGCGGAGGAAACGGTAGCAAGAATTTCCGGACTGTACGCTGTTGTAGAAGGCATATCAATGTCCACTTCTTTTGGAACTGGGGAGGAGGCAGTATCCGCGCCCGATTTAAGCGATGATGATTTGCCTACCACATCCGCAAGAGCCCGTGAGGAGAAAACCAATCCGTCTCCGACCCCAAAGAGGCACAGAAATAATCCCTCACTAC